GAGTGAAATGTAGAGTCGTACTGTGTACACAGGTTTATTCCAGAAAATACATCCCTGTAGACTATTTTTCTGTTAACATCGTCGAGATAAAAACCACATCTTCAAATTGCCAATTTCCATTTAAACGCTGCCAGGGAGACATTTCCATTCTTTAAGTTGCACTGCCCTCTGGGGGAGATGATCTTCAGATATAGCTCCATATCCACGTCAAGAGAACAAAAGCCTTCCTCGATTTTCTCCTTCAGTTTTGAAGGCTGAACATTTTGCTTCCTCCAAGTTTTATGCTGATGCTTGGTATGATTTGGGCATCGTAGCACAAAGATGAGAGAGGCCCCATTACAGCGACCTTCTGTTTGCTCTTTTATTCCCTTACACATTTTTTTGTGTGTGTGCTTGGAAATCTTGCCTGGGAAGGCCTGGAGGTGCTTTTATATTTTTGTGAGATTTGTGGATGTAAGGTAGTCTGCTCATGATGAAAGGTCTGGTGCTGCTGTACCGTAGTGCTGGATGCTTCACGAAGCAATGCCCTAGGTCCCAGAGAAACACACTCACGGCTTCTGCACAACTGGAGGTGGACAGAAAACATGACAGGCTCAACACTTTTCACAAAATGTTTTAACTTCCGCTTACGCGGTGCACATTCATAACACATACACGTGCACTGCCTAACTATACGGAGAACCGCTGGGCTTATGGTGCACACACTGCACACACGGTCACCGTAGGTATACCTGGTGTTTCCTGCAAGCCTTAGGGTTTATTCTGTGTACGCCAGGCAGTATTCTTTGTACTGTGTTCCCAGCCTCCTACTTGCTTGTCCTTCAAACAACAAGTGGTAACTCAATTACTGAGGGCAGGAATTCATGGCAAGAAGTGCAGCCTCCCTCAGCGTGAGGCAGGCAGGCAACTTGTCCACCTCCCGCCCAGAGCGATTTTCAGAATTCTCCCTCTCACGCCGTTCACCAGTGTGTTGAACCACTAACAGAAAACTACGGATTTGGAAAAGCCTTGCCTAAAGCATAAGCCTGTTTAGTGTATCTTGTTCTGTCTAGCTCGCCCTTCCTCTCAGTGGTCTGAGGACACAAACTCAAGAGACGATATGGTCGCTAGGGCTTTTCTGCTGCAGGTTAAAGTGTGTGTAGCCATGTTTGGGATCCCCCACGACGCAGCTCTGGGCTCTCTGCAGAGCTGGTGTTCACTGAAGGAGCAGATGGAAGTTGCTCGTGCAGACCGTGGAACTGACAAGTTGTCTCTAATCTGGAAAAATCCTCATTTTCCAATAAGCATCTGACAAAAAGGCAGTTTTTAGTAAGAAGCTCCCTAACACAACAAGAAAAAAAAAGTTACTTCAGCTATTTGGGTCCTGTTATTTTCTAAAAAACATTCAGAGCACTACTCAAATAATGGACGACTGTGATGCCCATATCCATACAAACTCAAGAGGCTTGCGGGAAAGCAGGAGATCACACTGGGGAAGCCATCTGAGGCAGGTATCTGGGTATGAAGGATTCCACCCCCCTTCAAACCGAATAAAACTGAAGCACCGCAATGAAGACAAAGAAAGGACTCAAACCTAGCAATGCTGCAAGAGGCTTTTCCAGTGGCAAGTAGACTGACAGCAACTGGTTAAAAAGAAATTCCGGTACAAAGGAAAGTATTTACCATCATGGCTGAAGGCAAGCAAAGTCCTAAGCATTTCCACAGCAGCATATGAACAGCCAAAATAGACCTCCAAATTCTTAGGAACAATATTGAGAAACTGCTAGTTTCTACACAACCGAGATTTCACAATACGATTTAAAGCTGTGAGGCAAGCTGTATGACTTGAAAGTGAAATAAAACTCCAGAAGAGAAATTCCTGCAGCAGATAGGTTCTCTCTTACAATGTCTTAGAAAAGATGTGCGACGAAGGAGGAGGAGGACTTGGTTCAGTGAAGTGTATGTAATGTGTCAGTATCTTTCCGCAGTAGATGCTCCAAATAAGACACCAGAGAATGAAAGAATCAGAGAACAATTACGCGATTTAATATGTTGAAAGAAAAGAGATCAGGTTGGTCTCTCAGAAATAGTCTGCCTTGGCTATCAGAGGTTTTTGTATGGAAAAAGAGTGCACTGTGAGGACTGTGGGAATACTGAAGCAGAAAAATTTGTAACTAATGAAAACTCATATTCGGAAAAGAGTAAAGGCTTCTCAAAGGAGAGGGAATGGACTCCTGTTTTGAGAGATGATGAATTCGTCACACAAAGCCAGCCACGGTGCTAGCTGTGAGCTGATGTTGAGCCTGCAGGACCTTCTGGCTAGACCTTCTGGCTATCGTGGTGGTGTTATGTAGAAGATGAACACAGCACACTTTACTGGCTCAAATTAGTGCACAAACAGAAGTGATCATTAAGAATTACTATTGCGGATCTACTGGCTGAACTAAAGGGACTCCAACATTTTTCCCCACCCCCTGCCCTCCCGTTGCCCTTCTGAGGAGACTCGGGATGCAGGAGGACCAAATCCTCGTTCACCGCCAGCCCCAGCCTCACGCTCCTGCGATAGGGAGCAGGAGAGAGAGCAGCTCTCGCTGCCTTCCTTTCCCCATGTCTTTTCTCCTCCTTGCCGCAGCTGCAAATCCACTTCCATTACCCTGCCTACCACGGGGGAAGGTCCCATTACACTACAGCGAGCCTTGCGGGGGAAGGTGGCTCAGGCTCAGACCTCAGGCTCAGACCAGAGCTCATCCGCACCTCGACTGCTGTCTCAGTGCAGGACTAAGAGGTGCTTATCGGCAAGAGACCAAGGAAAGCCTGGTGGCCACTGGCAAGTAGACTATTTAGGTATGGAGCAGGGGTACCCTAGCTAACTGTCGATCCCATCTCCCACCCTCAAGTACCTCCACTCTACCGACATTTTTACTTTTATAGAGACTTTCAAAAGCTTTCTTAACCTTTTGGTAAGGACGAGCACGCCGCATTTTATTTCAGTTCAGCATTCAATGCCCACTGATTCTGTGTACTTACCTTTCAAACTAATAGCTATAACCATTTTGTTAATTATTCCCATTCCTTTTTTATCACTGGACAACAATCACAGCCTTAAACCTTCAGGCTGCAGAAGTTCCTTCTTAGCTTTTTCTTTTCATGTTTGATTTTGATTTTGAAAATAAGGTTGCCTTTAAAATCAATTATAGATTTAGCAACATTCATAGGTAACTTCAACCTGAGCAGTAGCTCAGTATGTAGTACTATAATCACTTCGTATGTTAGTAAGAAGATAAACTTGTGAAGGTCAAAAATATTTCCTAATTTGTAAAATTAAGTTACATATTCTTTACTCCATATGAAATGTTCTGCCTCATACGAAGTATTTCATTTAACAAGTCAATTTTTCATCCTTCTTAAGTGCCTACTTTTGGATAGTAAAACACATTTGACAAACGTCGTATTTTTTCAGCTAGGACAGTATCCTCGGAATTATGATGTCTGTATTATTAAAATGTGCATTTTCTGTTCCTTGATTGTCCAATTATTTTAGGAAGATTTTTGAGGAATACTTTTTCTTTTTGACCATTTTCTTTTTCGGACTATGTTCATCTTCTACATAGCACCGCCTCGACAGCCAGAAGGTCCTGCAGGCTCAACGCTCTTAGCAGTAGTTGTAAGAAATGTGGTCCCTCATGAGATTTGCTGTGGTGAAAGCGTTATGTTTTTATACGGTTTTTATGGGACAAAGCCTTCCCTTTAGTGTTGCTCAGGTAAAGGAGACTACGGCCACCCAGCTCCAGCCCGCTAGCCGACTTCGGGAGGCGCTGGGAAGCAGCACAGCGGGCAGCGGCGGCTGTGGCGGGGAGGCTGGCCCACCGCTCCCGGCGCCACCTTCCCGCTGGCCGGCACTCCCCGGTTTAGGTAGGTGTGGGAAGGCGATGAAGCAGCACAGGCCAACTCTTCACCACTTTACATCCTTTTAACACCTCACGGCAGGGGACC